TGCAGTTTTGGCAAGTGTAAAATTTGATGCACTTGTCTCTTAAATTTGCCTTTTTCCTGCAATATAAAATGATATTATTTCCACATAAATAACGTACTACTGTTGCACCATCACCCTGAGAATTATCCAGCAGAAACAACTTTTGTAGGCTTTCTTCAGCACTCAGCAGCAGCAAAAGGTTAGCAAAATATTTTCTGCCGTTGTCTGCAGCTTGACTTTCAAGAGTTTTTGCTGACTGAATAAAGCTTCTGTATTGAAGACGGTACATTGATTTGGCAGGCAGAGTTTTGGCCGTCCACTCACCTTTTGGGAGACTGACCAAGACATCTGAAAAGGGTCTTCAGGAAGCTCATTTCTGAGATGCTTGAGATTCAGAGCCCAGGTTTTTGTAGAGAGGGATTTAGTATCCTTTAACTCTGCAATGACACAAAGTAGTTGTGTACGCCAGTTGAGCAGAGTAACTAATCTACATGTGAAGAGCTAGAGGTTTTATGAAGGATGGCACATAGCAATTTGTGTTCAGAAACTTGCTAACTCAGTGAAAGTAAATTGCTTTGTACTGAGAACATCTTATTTTTTGGAGGGGGAAGAGGCATTGTGCAAGGACAGGGTAGGAACAACCCACTTCTTATTCACTGAATACTGAATGAACCTCAATCTCCCCATGCCTGGCTTTCTGCGGTGGTTGCTCCCCCCACCTCCAGCCCTTCATGACAGGCTTTCTTAATCCTTCTCTTCATGCAAGTTTGTTCTTGGCTGACGTGGCACAGTATCCTTCCACCCTGTCTCCAGCCCTTGATGTCATAGTGTCCTAAAGTCGAGACAAGGATCACATTTTGTTCTCCTTGGAGCACCACTTTCCATTAGTATGAGCCAATAGTGGTTTAGCAATTTTTATTTTTATTTTTTTTTCATGATGGTCCTTTAGGATTGAGGACACTTGTGCAGTTTCTCCAGTTCTGAACTGGTTTCAGTTTTGAAAACTGACCCCTATTTACTGTTGTGAATGCTCTGAATCCTCCTAAAATAAGATTTTTAACCCATGCGCACAGTGTTTTTCTGCTACGGGTGCCCAGCAGATGTGAAAGCACTGCACAAAACCTGCCTGGGTTGGTTTGAGCAGCGTGTTGCAGGGGATACTGATCTCTGCTTGGAACAAAGTGAATTGGTTGCCTGGAGTCCTCTTGGCTAGCTTGGGGCGAAGCACATAGTTTCAACTGGATTTATGCTGTTTTCTATCAGGATAAGCTGGTTCCAAGTCTGAGCGTGGCGTTCCTGCGCAAGGAAGAGGTCAAACAGGCTGCTCCTATGTTTACAGGGTAGTCTGATTTTAAAAAAAGAGGCTGGCTACTGCAAAAGGCTGTTGTCTTCTGGTGCTGCTCAACCTTTTCACTCCACAGCAGTTGGGAGTCTTTGAGTAGATCTAGGAACTGAGCATAAGTAAAATATACCTGCATAGCTGCTTTTAAAATCCCTCAGAGCAACAGTTGCTTATTTTAGACTTTTTGTTTTTTGCACCTGGAGAATAAAATAAGATGTAGCAAACAAAGTGAAGACGAGCCATTTGTTCTCAGTACCTGGAATGGTGTGGGTTTTACTTTGCAGCTCTTCTGTGTTTAATGCCTCCACTGTAAGGCATGCTTACAGTGCTAATATGAAGAAATTGAACCCAAGCCCAATGCAGAATGCCTCTTTGGGTGATAGTTGGAAGAATTAGTTCATGGTTCAGGTTCTGTTAATTTGATGAACTCAGGAAAGAAACCTTCTTCTAGATTTTTATAAACTTGATCTGGTCAATTTTGCTCATGGTAGGAACTGGGTGAGATAAGCAGTATAATAAATTTAGCTAGTTTTTGCATAGGTAGAAATTTAGTTGACCTTCTTGTTCCACTTCTCTTAGTTTATATATAATACTTTGGGTCACAAAAGTACTGTCTCACAGCCAGGAAATTTAAACCTTGTTACTGTACTGCGATGAAGTACAACCACGTTCCGTAAGCTTGAGACTTCCTATAGTGTTTTCTGTGGCTTGTAAACACTCATGTGTGTACACATGGCATGCGTGTGTACAATGTTCAGACAAACAAGGTGAGGGAGTCCTTTGCAGCAAAGATGATCTCTCTGTTGCTTCTTTTCTTGGTCTTTTCTCAAGGCAGTAAGCAAGTTGCAAGTTCTTCCCATTACTTTTGCTGGTCCTGGTCAGAAAAAAGACAATGTGCTATGTGTAAAACTGATGTGGTTGTGAGGCACTCCCATATGGTTGTCCTAGTTTCTGCCATCTCACAGATTCACATAAGTTTAGGGCTGGATGGGACCTTGTGAGATCATCAGGTTTAGCCCCCTGCTCTGGGCAGGAAAGACTGCTGGGGTCAAATAATCCCAGCAAGGTGTGCGTCCAGTCTCCTTTTGAAGATCTCCAGGGTAGGTGCCTGCACCACCGCTGCTGGGAGTCTAACCCAGAGTCTGGTCACACAAACTGTGAAGACGTTTCACCTTATCTGGTCTGACACTTTGGTAAATAGTTGTTTGCCTAGCCCCTGATGCTCTCCCCTGATATATTTGTAATCTCACAGAGTAAGAGAGCATAACACCAGTCTAGGTCTCCCATACAAAGGTGCAGAATAATGGCATGGGCCATGTGAATTGTTTTTTGGTTTCTTCTTCCTAGGTTTATTCCTTGAAGTTAAATCCTGATAATCCTCGTCTCTTTGGTAGTGGGAGACACTGTAGTCTTCCTTCAGGCTTTACTGAGCTGTAAATCATGGTTTCCACAGGGTCTTCTGCAGTTGTAATTACAGTTCCCATGCATCCGGACAAGGGCACTGCTTGAAGATTCCTTTGAAGTCTGCATGCTGCCCGTTTGTAGCACGAAAGTGAAGTCGGATTTCCCTGGGAGAGAATCAGGGTTAATTTTGACAAACTTGCTGCCTTGATCTCCAGAGGTGGGCTCTTCATGTAGCTCTGAGAAGCATAGTTTATACTAACCAAGTGTGATCAAAAGTAATCTTGGTATCAGCTGTCCTAGAATGTATGCGCCAGTGCTAAGCACGCAGTACTTGCAGTATTCTCCTGCTCAGCACCAAAGCTGAGTCTTCCAGTTAGGTTGGCTTTGTGTCTGCAGAGACATGGGAGACCAATGCACAGAAGCTGGAGTCTGCATGCTGCTTCCTGAAAAGGCGGTGTATTAGCACATTCAGACCCTAGTTAGTGACAGTCAGGCATAGTACTATAGTTTGGATTGAGATTCTTGGGATTGGACTCTGAGGAAGGCTGTGGCAATGGTGGGGTAGGTGGTTTCTCTTCAATAAGGTAGAGGGAAAAGATAACATGTCTTGTATGTAAATACACATTGTAGCATGTGGCTGTTTGCCTTTTAGAAAAACCCCAGCGATGGGTTCCATAACACCGTTGCACTGGTATCTGCTGTGCACTTCCAAATTTCTCATAGCTGAAGTATGAGATGTTGGGTGATTTGAAATGTGATCTAATGCATCAAGTCGTTCTGTCCAGTAGACCTGAACACAAGGGCACAGTTTGAAATGGCAAGAGCTGGTTTTATCTTAATCTTCACTGCACAGTTGCCTACCATGCTCACTCTAGAAAACCTCTCAGTAGAGTCCTGGGACTGGAATGCTGTTGCTCAAAAATGATCTTCTCTAATCTGGCTGTGTTAGGGAAACCTTGATTATGAAACCTTTACTTGTACCACTGACTTCACGTGTAACGATCTGAACTGTTTTATTCCTCCTCAACATACCCCCTTCAATAGCAAGTACTAAATGCTGTTGTAGTATACAACAGACATATTAATATATGTTTGCATTATGGGAGTTCCTAAAGGCCCCAGTGCCGTGTTGTTCTAGGCACTGTCCATATGCCTAATGAAACTGTCAGTGCCTGAAAAGAGCCTGCAGGCCAAATAGACAAGATAGATTAGAGGATCTATAATGACTAAGTCTGCAAGATGAAACCCCAAATTTGCATGATAATTAAAAGAAAGTGTGTACTTTCTTTCACTGTATTTGTTTTTAATTACCTGCATTTTCTTTAATACAAGAAACTTGAGAGAGATGCAAAATACCTGAAGCTGAAGGCAGGTGACCTTCAGATATGAGAGTTCCTGGGTGTTACCCTATTTACTGTAATAGAAGGCATCCCTGAATATATGACCCCCCCGCCCAATAATTAGATTCTATATAAATTTTGTTATAATTTTCCAGGTATAGAATCTAAGTATTGGAGGGTTGTCTTGAATTCCTTGTGTGGGGGGGGAGGTCAGATGGATCCCTCACTATTTGCCCTGTCCACTTCTTCCCTCTGCAGTCTTTCTGCCACCTGCACTCCCCACTCCCAGCTCCACAGCCTCTGCTCTTCCCCCCTGCTCCTAGTCTTTCCCCTTCCCCCTTCAACTCCCCCAGTCTCTGCTTCTTCCCCTTCTCTCCTCCCTTCACCCCTACCCCCATAACTGACCTTGCTCAAGTTGCAGCACAGCACATGGCAGCTCAGCCCTTGCCTGGCCCTGCAGCAGTGTCCAGGGCAGGTGAAGGAGTTCCCCAAAAGAAACCCCAGCCTGAGCCTTGAGCCAAGCTAGGAAGGAGGGAAGAGGGAGGGGGGGCAGAAGCTGCAGGAGGAGGCTGTGGGTCTGACTTTGTCCCTGACAGGGCCAGAGTTGGAGCCTCATCAGCTGCCTGCTTCCCCTTCCACTTTGTATGCAAATCTAAGACAAGGGGATTTCCCCCTCATGCTGATGGTGGGGGGAGCGGGTCATCTTATATTAAAGTAAATACAGTACATTCCTATTCTTTGCTAGTTCAAATGGCAGGGATCTGTGCAGAACTCTTTAACAGTGAAATGAATGAATCAGATGATGTGCTACAAAAGAGAGCAGCAAATGCAGGCAAATGGGAGACAAACATGCGGTGGAGAAATTAGATAGTCAGCACTGCAGTGCTTTCCAGGACTAATGGTAGCTTTTCCTTTCCATTTTCGTTCCTTTGCAGGAAATCCAAGGGAAAACCAAATGGTAAAAAGCCAGCGCCAGAAGAGAAGAAACTCTATCTAGAGCCAGAATACACAAAGTCCAGAATTACTGACTTTGAATTCAAGGAACTAGTGATGTTACCGCGAGAAATAGATCTCAATGAGTGGCTAGCCAGTAACAGTAAGTAACATGAATACAGCTTGAAGCCTGACATCCATACCCAGAAAGCCTCTTATTTTTCAGGTTTCCTATCGACTGTTTTCAACACTTAAATAATCACTGAATGTTTTAACATGATTATTATGTAATGTTGGTCAGCGTATCTCAAAGGGAAGCTAAGGGTATGGAGAAACATACATTTTTATTATAGCTGCTCTAGAAGGGGTAGGGAAGCTGCTGGAAGCATGTCAATCTGCATGATACAATTTAGCTAAATTGCCCTAACTTTTGACCCTAAGAATGAAACAGATTGAGTTCGAGTGGTTTCACTGCACTTCATTGACTACAGGCTCATGCAGACATAACAGTTGCATCTTAACAGCTTGTATTAGTATTCTTTGATATTGTTGCAGTTATTACATCTCTCTTTACCCAAAATGTTTTGGTGCAAACCAGCTGCACTCTTCAGGGTAGAAACATTAATGTATTCTTCCCCTTCTTACCCCTCTCAATGATTCGCTGATGAAGACATTAACCTCTTTAGAGGTCTCTTGAGGGCCATCATTTTCCTTTTGAAGGGTCTGCTAAGCCTGCTGACTCGACATGTTTATGGCTGGAGGTGTTGGTGTTCTAAAAACATTTTTTAAGAAGTCTGACTTGTAGGCAAGTCCTAATGAATCACCCAGATTGTTGTTGTTTTTTTGGTTTTTTTTTAAAGCAGGCAGCATATAACTTTTGGCTGGATTTTCTTCTCCATTCCCTTCCAAATCTCTGTGGAATTAGCTTGAATGTCCTCAGTCCTCATACAAGTGGCTGACTAAAAGTTATATTCTGTGAGCAAATGCTGCATCAGTACCCCATTGTCTCTTGTTTCTGACCAGTTGCCTGCCTCCTGCTGTTCAGACAGCTTTACTAGCCCTAACCTGAAGCTACACCCAGTCATGGTTATTTCTTGAGCAGTTGGTGCTAATCCTGAGAAACTGCTTGCCGGCCTTTTGAGTGCTGACAGTTTCATTATGCATCTGAACAGTGCCTAGAAGGTCTTTAGGACCTCCTGTAAATCCAAATGTATGTTAATACAAAGTATACTAGTGCTCATTAGGAATTGGCCAGACCACTCTAGTCCTGTTTCTCTGGAGCAGGATTTAAATCCTGTGAGCTGACACATTGTGCCAGTTAAAACTCTTAAAATTAATTTGTAATAGTTCCTTCCCTTGCTCTTCAGTTAAATTACTGTTATGCTGATTTTGTGTGAGAGCTGAGGTGCTTTACAAGGGAGCACAGTGTAACAGTGTGTGCTTTAAACATAGCAGGAAAAACTGCATTAAATCCAACTTAAAACAACAAGACTGAGCAAGTCTCTTGAGGTCGAAAGAGTTGGCCATTTGGCTACACAGGTGAAGCTTACTGTTGGGACATTTCCATTCTCGCTGGTTAGTGAGTGAGCGGAGCTGAAGTGTTTTTGCTAAAGGAAAACAGAACCATTCATGCCTCATCTTTGTTTAACCCCGCAGTTACTTAATCACTAAGTTGAACAGGATTTGGCCAAAGGAGACTGAATGCATACAAAAGCACAAGTACAGGATAAAGCCATTTCCCTTGCTTATTTTACTTAACAATTTATTAGGGGGATTACCAGTGTTAATAAAAGTGGTTTATATCGCTGAATTTGTGTCTTTTTTTTCTTTTTTCAGCCACCACCTTCTTCCACCACATCAATTTACAGTATAGTACAATCTCAGAGTTTTGTACAGGAGAGTCTTGTCAGACCATGGCAGTGTGCAATACGTAAGTGACAACCTGTACATGTTCACTGTTGAGGGCTATGGTGGCTTCAGGGCTTTGGTGGCTTCAGCACAGCCTAGAGAGCCACTGGCTGGACCTGATGGGAGGGAGGGGGGTGGAAATGCAGGCAGATTGGGAGGTGGATACAGGCACCATCCACTCAGCCACAGAGGGTGGGGAAAATCGCCCTTTCCCACAATACAAAGTAAGGTATAAACGAGCTCTTGCAAAGCCAGCTCAATCAGCAAAGCAGCAGGATCATCAGCAGTAGCAAAATGCCTTGTTTGGGGTGGGCTGGGGGAGGCATGGAAAGCAAAAATGGTACTTGACTGCAAGTGCTGGTGGGAGTTCATAAGAGGCAAGAAAGAATAAAAGAATTAGTGAAAGCCTCCCAGGACTCTCTCCAGAGCTGGAATGCTAGCTGGGCACCGGGCCACTTGACAGATAACCCTCTCTGTGGGCCACTGGCTGTCTGCCTGGGCTCTTGGGCATGGAGAATACAAATGACAGCACCGCAAAAGGAAAAGGTCTCTGTGTGTCCACTCTAGTCTTGATCCAATCTCTTCAGGCTGGCTACCTGTCAAGCGTGAAGGAAAGCACTGTTTCCCTGTGTACATCTGAATATGCTAGGTGCAGTTGGGGGCATGAGAAGTAAGGAATTAAATTGCTGCACTTGTCTAAGACATGATGAAATCTGAAAGCTTCAGCCAGAGTGTAATTTATCTCATGTGAGCTTCAAAAGGTGTTAGTATCTTACATGTTGACAGGACCTCAAGTATAGGAGGCTTGAGAGGCAATCCTCCTGTATCCACATGCTTGAGGACTGTAGCATGTGCGGTCTAGGTGTAGAAGTAAACAGGAAGAGACTGATGATTTTGTTACTCACAATTACCAGGAGATAACTGAGATCCATTTCTGCAAGGAATATGGAACTGTCTGAATGTTTCAGAAGTAGCCTGGAATGTTGAGTGATAAAACCGGGGCAGTCGCAACGATGGTGGGCACCGTGGCTTGGTACATGAAATCTGTTGATTGACAGGGTGAAAGATACTAGTCGTACAGTCATTTTCACCTCCAAGCTTCCTTTTCTGCTTATTCCTGTTGTAGTTCAGGCTTTCAAAGGAGTTATCTTGTTAATGTGACTAGATAGATAGCACAGGGACTGAAGCTGGTAGGATGCAAGTGGAGAAAAGTCACAGGGTAGTCTTCATGCTTGTGCTCTACTTTAACCTTGTGAGTTTAATGGTTTTCTCTAAGCATTTAATATCCCATAAAATAGAGAAGTTGTAATTTTGCACTAACTATGGAAAATGTGAGCAAGACGATTTAAAAAAAAAACCCAACAACCCAAAAATGAGCAACTGGGATAGAGCAAAGAAATAAATGGATTTTTATCTCTGAAAAGTTTGATAGCCTTTTTCACTTAGAGTGCACTTCATTCAAACTAGAGGAAGCGTTGCTGAAAGCTGCATTTCTGTGCACGCTGTTACGTCTCAGCTCTGTGTTCTCGGGCAACCCTGGCACAGGACGCAGCCTGTCTGACTCACAAAGGACTCACCCTCCCTCCCCTCCTCTACATAAACGAAACTGATTAAGATGCAGTGAGAGACGCACCTAAGACCCCCCAGATAAGGGTGACAAGAGTGAAACAACTGCCCTAGGTCTCATTTGCATCCCAGATGAAACCAAATGACCATTCATTTACATGAGAGATGGAGAACAGAAAGCCTGAAGCAGAGACTGCAGTGAATTCTGGGACCAGAGAAGCAGGGGAGCACTGCATGATGGGGAATCTGTACTCCAAATGCTAATCAACCCATGTTCACACACACCCAGCTCAGCATTTATCAGACCAGTTCTAATGTGGATTTACAAAGGACTTTTCCCCCCACAGACACACACACACCTCTAAGTTTAATAGGCATCTTGGGCCGTACATTCCCTGGTCCCACTATGGGAGGCCTATTTAAACTTGATTGACTAAAACTCGGTTGCCAGGTTAGAGAATGCTGAGGCAAGAGACCGAGTCAGGGGGGGTATGGGCAACATTTGAACAATGGCTAAGGGTTCATCGCAGCGTCCAGCCCATTGGAGCCCTAACCACAGGTGTTGTCATGCTTTTCCCAGGATGACTGGTGGAAGTCCTCCTGCCCAAAGGTTATAAACACTCCAATAATTGCCTTAAGTCTGTTAAAAAACTATGGTAAGATCTGGAAAAGTCATGCTAAGCTGAGGCTTGTTCACAACATGTAAAAATCCAAAATCCTGATGCTGCAAGCTATCTATTGTTTCTGAAGAAACCATGAGATATCCCATCAGTATATCTGCCACCCATAGGAATCTCAAGCTGGCTCCCAAGTATTTGGGTTACTCCCTAATCTTAAGTATTTCCTGATTATCAATCAGTTTCCTGAGATGGTCCAAACCAGATAACCCCTTGTCAATAGAAAAGACAATGATTTACACTACTGAGGGTGCTTCGAAGCAGCTGAACTGAGGGTATAAAAATCTATAAGTGTGTG